CCTTCCTTCCTTCCTTCCTTCCTATGCCATTTATAGTGTGCCTTTTTGATTGGGACTCTGTGGATGCAATCAACACAATGGGACATTCAGTAAAAAATGAAATAAGATTGGGGTGTAGCAATACTCGCCTAGAGTATTGTGTACAGTTTTGGGTGCCGCAATTTAAGAAGGACGTAGACAAGCTGGAGCGTGTCCAGAGGAGGGCCATGAAGACGGTGAGGGGTCTGGAGACCAAGTCCCTACATGGGTAATATTCGGTTCTCCTCTGGCGTTTCTTGAGGCAGAGCGAAGATTGCCACCATGGGCAGATATGTGGGGAGGAAAATTTTCCACGGCGGGGGGGGGGAGCCCATTTCTAAAGATGAATTTTTCATCAAATTAATACCAGTGAGTGGCTGCTATTGCCAATATGATATTAGGCTGGCCAGTTCCAAAGCTGCGATTAATATTTGGTCGAGACCTATCCCGCCCTGTTTGGGTGAAATGGGGTAGGGAGATGTTTCTTTCATTGGGCCAGGCCCATTGCCTGGGTCAGTGCGAGGGGTTTTGGGGTTCAGGCTCTTGTATTGAAGCCGCTTTTGAAAGGTGCCATTAATACGCCTCCCCAAGACAATCCCCCACAACTCAAACGGGGGCTGAGCCTGCAGATGAGCACACAAAGCTGCCTTTTACTGAATCCGACCCTTGGTTCACCAAGTTCAGTAACTGTCTACTCAAACTGGCTGCAGCTCTCAAGCAGAAGTTTTTCACAACCCCTATGACAGTGATGGCGAACCTTTTAGAGACCGAGTGCCCAAACTGTGACCCAAAACCCACTTATTTATTGCAAAGTGCCAACACGGCAATTTAACCTGAATACTGAGGTTTTACTTTAGAAAAAACAATTCATATATTAGCATAAGATGATCCAAACAAAGTAAGGAAAGCAATCCCAAATGCTTTCATTTACTTAAAATTATTTGGCAGAGAATTCGACACTTTAATGATGGTCTGGGCCTGGCTGGGGCGATGGCACGCGTGCCCACAGAGAGGGCTCTGAGTGCCACCTCTGGCACCCGTCCCATAGGTTCGCCACCACTGACCTATGACCTGATCCTGGAGATGCCTGGGATTGAACCAGGGACCTTCTGCATACCAATCAGAGGCCCTACCACTAAGTCATGGCCCCTCAGACAGGAGCCCTGGTTTGGGCTTTAGGTATAGTCGTGTCTCAGTTCTGTTTGTGTGTGAGTTCTGCTGGTGAGAACACATGCCTAGTTTCTGGATCCGGGCAATCCTGTTTTTGTTTTTCTTTTCATGCAAACTCTCCGGGCATTTTCTAAACTCCCGAGCTCCTCCCAGCAGGTTTCTGCAGCTTGTGAACGGACAGGGTTTGTTCTTCCGCTGCTCGGTAAGCAGTCCAACCAGGAAGAAAACAAGACTCAGGATCAGACGGTCCTTGAGACAATGAAATGCATAGGTGCGTGTGCGCAGGGGGTTATGTGTGTGCGGTAGGTTGTGGGAGGCCCATGTTCAGGCCTGCCCGGAATGTCTGGTGGCCAAGCTGGAGAGAGACCGGCTGCCTGAACAACAGAGGAAGAGGGGTGTTGCGTGCATGAGGGGACCCGAGATCGGCAGAGCAGTGAAATGGGTGAGCACAACTGTCGCGCATCAGGTGGGAGGGAGGGAAACAAGTGGAGGAAAAGGAATTCAGAATGAGTATGTGCAGGACTGGAGATTCAGGAAACGTGAATGTTGCAATACTAGGCAGAGGTGCAACGGTGAGGGAGAAAGAGTCTCGGCCCTTCTTTTCAGCGAACCAAAATCTTCTTCCTCTGGATAGTCGTGCAGTTCTATCCTTTGAGGGCCTGCAGCAAGCCACGTAGAATGCGTTGCCAGAGGCTGTCGTGACGGCAGCAGGTATCGACAGGTTTAAAAGGGGATTGGACAGATTCATGGAGGAGAAGTCTATCAATGTCTACTAGGCATGGTGACTCAAGGGGAACCTCTGTGTTCAGAGGCCCCCGGGGCCAGGAGGCAACATCATGGGAAAGACTCAGCCTCTGTGCCCTGTCATTGGTCGTCCAGAGGAACTGGTTGGCCACTGTGTGAGTCAGGATGTTGGACTAGATGGACCACTGCTCTGATCCAGCAGGGCTCTTCTGAGGTTCGTAGGAAGGCCTAGGCCCCTGTGCCCTATTGTTGGCTGTCCAGAGGAATTGGCTGGCCACTGCGTGAGTCAGGATGTTGGACTAGATGGACCACTGGTCTGATCCACCAGGGCTCTTCTGATGTTCTTAGGAAGGCCTAGGCCCCTGTGGCCTGTTGTTGGCTGTCCAGAGGAATTGGCTGGCCACTGTGTGAGACACGGTGCTGGACTAGATGGACCACTGGTCTGATCCACCAGGGCTCTTCTGAGGTTCGTAGGAAGGCCTAGGCCCCTGTGCCCTATTGTTGGCTGTCCAGAGGAATTGGCTGGCCACTGCGTGAGTCAGGATGTTGGACTAGATGGACCACTGGTCTGATCCAGCAGGGCTCTTCTAAGGTTCGTAGGAAGGCCTAGGCCGCTGTGCCCTATTGTTGGCTGTCCAGAGGAATTGGCTGGCCACTGCGTGAGTCAGGATGTTGGACTAGATGGACCACTGGTCTGATCCACCAGGGCTCTTCTGATGTTCTTAGGAAGGCCTAGGCCCCTGTGGCCAGTTGTTGGCTGTCCAGAGTAATTGATTGGCCACTGCATGAGTCAGGATGTTGGACTAGATGGACCACTGGTCTGATCCAGCAGGGCTCTTCTGATGTTTGTAGGAAGGACTTGGCCTCTGTGCCCTGTTGTTGGCCCTCCAGAAGAACTGGTTGGCCCCTGTGTGAGACAGGATACTGGACTAGAGGGACCACCGGTCTGATCCAGTAGGTCTCTTCTGAAGTACTTATGAAGGCCTCAGCCTCTATGCCCTGTTGTTGGCCATCCAGAGGAACTGGTTGGCCCCTGTGTGAGACAGGATACTGGACTAGAGGGACCACCGGTCTGATCCAGTAGGTCTCTTCTGAAGTACTTATGAAGGCCTCAGCCTCTATGCCCTGTTGTTGGCCATCCAGAGGAACTGGTTGGCCCCTGTGTGAGACAGGATACTGGACTAGAGGGACCACCGGTCTGATCCAGTAGGTCTCTTCTGAAGTACTTATGAAGGCCTCAGCCTCTATGCCCTGTTGTTGGCCATCCAGAGGAACTGGTTGGCCCCTGTGTGAGACAGGATACTGGACTAGAGGGACCACCGGTCTGATCCAGTAGGTCTCTTCTGAAGTACTTATGAAGGCCTCAGCCTCTATGCCCTGTTGTTGGCCATCCAGAGGAACTGGTTGGCTGCTGTGTGAGAATGTTGAAGATGGACCTCTGGTCTGATCCGGCAGGGCTCTTTCTGTGCTCTTAATGCTGTAAATGTAGTTGCCTTGGTGCAAACGGTTGGAAGTGAAGGACTTCACACTGTCTCTTAGTCTCAGATTACAAAGGAAGACTACAAGAGAGTCAGATAGATAGATAGATAGATAGATAGATAGATAGATAGATAGATAGATGATGGATGGATGATAGGCAGGACACTGATCACCCGTCCTTTACCACTGTCTGATACTATCCCTTTGATGTGTAGATTTCTACTCTTAGAGGTAACTTCCTTCCTTCCTTCCAGCTTCACCCTAGTTCTCCTCACAATGCCAGTTTTCTCCATCTTGGCAACATGAGAGCAGGACGTGCTCTTGTATCTCCATCCACTTTAGCTAGTTAGCCTAGATTAGGAACCTATCTCTCCTCTATCCTGTCTAGAATGGAGTTCCTTAAATAAAAGGTCTCATATTAGTTTTGCAACAAAAGGGCTGTGTGTGTAACTTTGTTTCTGTAGCACGCACTCTCCAGAAGGCTTTGCTGTGTTGAAAGCCACGAGTACTCTGCTACCTAAAGGTAAAGGTTCCCTTGCTCGAAAGCCAGTCGAATCCGACTCTAGGGTTGCGGTGCTCATCTCCGTTTCCAAGCCGAAGAGCCAGCGCTGTCCGAAGACGTTTCCGTGGTCATGTGGCCGGCATGACTCAACACCAAGGCGCACGGAACGCTGTTCCCTTCCCACCGAAGTGGTACCTATTTATCTACTTGCAATCTCTTGCTTTCGAACTGCTAGGTTGGCAGGAGCTGGAACTAGAGACGGGAGCTCACCCCGTCATGCGGCACCCGGGTCTCGAACTGCTGAACTACTGAACTACTTCCACAGCCTGCAGTTCAGCGTCTTAACCACTTGAGCCACCGCAGCTCATACTCTGCTAGCTACTTACCGAATAATCCAACACAAACTTCCAGCCTCCTGGGCCAAACAGGCAACCGCCATCCACTGCCACTGAATTTTCAAAGTGCCTCCCAAACTCGATATCGGGGCCTTTGACGGTCTGGTGTTTCCCGTGTGATCCCTTTGTTCACAATAATCTCTCTGCCCTTTTGCCTTTGCAGACCGTGGGCATGATGGGACTGGTATGGTGGCATTCTGGAACAGTTCCCAACAGTGTTGTCAGGTTGGTATAACATTTGTTTCCATGTGTGCTTACATAAGAACATAAGAGACGCCAATGTTGGATCAGGCCAAAGGCCCATCCAGTCCAACACTCTGTGTCACACAGTGGCCAGAAATACCAGTGCCATCAGGAGGTCCAGCAGTGGGGCCAGGACATTAGAAGCCCTCCCACTGTTGACCCCCCCCCCAAGCACCAAGAAGACAGAGCATCACTTGCCCCAGAGCCCCTAGCTATACCTTGTGGCTAATAGCCACTGATGGACCTCTGCTCCATATGCTTATCTAATTCCCTTTTGAAGCCGTCCATGCTTGTAGCACCCACCACTTCCTGTGGCAGTGAATTCCATGTGTTAATCACTCTTTGGGTGAAGAAGTACTTCCTTTTATCCGTTCTAACCCGACCGCTCTGCAGTTTCATGGAGTGCCCACGAGTTCTTGTATTGTGAGAAAGGGAGAAAAGTACCTCTTTCTTTACCTGCTCTTTCCCATGCATAATCTTATAAACCTCGATCATGTCACCCCTCAGTCGTCTTTTCTCCAAGCTAAAGAGCCCTAAGCGCTTTAACCTTTCCTCATAGGGAAAGTGTTCCAACCCTTTTATCATTCGAGTTGCCCTTTTCTGCACTTTTTCCAAAGCTATAATATCCTTTTTAAGGTGTGGTGCCCAGAACTGCACACAGTATTCCAAATGAGGTCTCACCATTGATTTATATAGGGGCATTATTATATTGGCTGATCTGTTTTCAATACCCTTCCTAATAATCCCCAGCATAGCATTGGCCTTCTTTATTGCAGTCACACACTGTCTCGACATTTTCAG